TGAATGGATACAGGACATCCAGTTGAGTATAAATTCGCTATTTATGCAGTCTGAGTGTATGCTGATTTCATCTCATCTCATTCGGCGTTACGTGAGCTGATTACGTTAGTCATGCGCGATTGCCGAGTTGGCCAGAGTCGACAGAGGACGACAGAGCCCTGGTTCCGTGACCATAGCTGGCACTCGCACACGCACACAAATCTATATATAGTGCGTCCATGTGTGTGAGTGTGTTTGGGTCTGGGTCATTTTGGCCGTGTTCAGTTGCTTAGCGCCAAATGAAATTGTGCCAACTGGCGACTTGATGAGAATTTCATTTGGTGCGGATTTTTATGACTTTCGAGACACAGCGAGAGTGCGAAAGAGAGAGGTGGATAGAGATAAAGAGAGATGCTATGGAAGTTTCACTAAATGATTTCGCATTATTTGTGTGTCTCTCTCTCTCTCTCTTTCTCATGCACTCTCTGCTCTTTGCCATAAAAAGTCAATGCATGCGAAATGCTTTCGTGATACGCTCAAACTAGTTCTTCCTCTGAGAGTCCTGGAAGCCAGGTTAGGTTCTGTTCGGCCCTCGGTTTATTTGTTTATTCATTGAATGGGGTCGAATCGTAAAAATTATGTTGATGAGTCATCAGTAAATGGCATTTATTTTATTGTCACCTATGCGACCCCACACAGATATCTTCAATTATGACCAACGCCGCAGTTGATTCGATTCCATGTGCCGGAGCAATGCTTGCGGAATATGAAAGAGGCGAGCGCTTTGATGCACGGACTACGAATGAGTCTTGTATTTGTATTATTAATGATGTCCCCTCTATCACAATCCAACCGAGAGCCTGTCACACATGCTTCGCTTCCCAGCGCCATGTCCTCCAAAATAGACCATTCATTAGATCAGCCCATCCTTAATGGGCGTAATAAGTGTGGGTAAATTTTTTTTTTTTTAATTTACTACAATTTACTGGTATTTATTTCAGTGCATTCGACGGCAGCTCTTCTATTGACATCGCGGCAAACTGGGAGTGAACGGATTCCCGTGCCGTAAACCACCATTCGACAAGCAGATAAATGCCGAGGTCTGGACACAGCAGCTAATAGGGAAAGCCCCATGGGGCACTGTGGGTCGGAAATGGAAATTATATGAATTAGATCTAGCTTGGGCATGGTTAGCTATGTTTTAGATATGCTTTATAAAGTGTTTCGAAACGAGATTTTCATATGGGGGTCCAGTTGTCATTGATTAAAGCTTGACGTTCAGCTCAAACTTCATGAGGTTCTCGACTTATGTACATGGTAGATTTATGTGAATGTCACATATTTCTGAGTGCTATAAATGTTTTGTTTTTTGATTGGACGTTTGCATAAAGTTGAGTTTGTTCCAACTAATTTATTGACATGAAACAAATAATTGATCGAGAATATTTTACGAAAAACCGAAAGACGAAAAAATATTCAATAGAATCCCGATACTTTGAAACGGCAATTTTTAATTTACACAGAAATTCAAATAATTGAGAATTATTGAGATCGAATTTCATTCAAGGGGATACCATATTTTTCGATTTATCACGTTTTGGTATGAATTATCGAGACTCAACTGTATACATGATACATAATATACTTGGCTGTATAATTTATTCTTTGAATAATCAATGGACTTGTTGGGTCGTTAATAAAAAAAAATATATATATAAATATAATAATAATAATAATAATAATAAAGGTTGGGCTTATTCATATGCCTATTTTCGGACTATGTAAAAATAAATTTGAAAATCTTTTCAACTTTTTACTGGATGGTAACATTCCTCTTCCTGAACTCTCAAAGATAATGTGAAAAACTCAACAGAATTTAATAAAAAAATATAAACATATATTAATTTCAAAAACATATAAAATTATACAATATTGTTAAATATGATGCTACAAAATAAATCTTGAAAGTTGTACAAAATATATATGAATATAAAATAAATTATTGGTACAAACATAACCATATAAAAATAAATAAAAATATAAATCTCTTAAACTTTTTTGTTTTCTTTTTTTTTTTATGGTAAAATTCGAGTTTTGTGCCACTGTGCGGCTGTGTTGTTGAGCGCTCCCCAAACGAATTGGGTAACAACCGCATTTGAGATTTGATTGGATTAGAACAAGCTTTTGGCGGCGCACGAATTGTTGATGTGTCCGCTGTGGTTGATTGGAATTGGAGGCCCCAAACCAGATGGAGCTGCCGCCTCCCCTTTGGCTACACAGTGTTGACATGCCGCGGTGGCAACAGGCAGCAGGCAGCAAGCAGCAGGCAACAGCGGACAGAGGTTGAGCCTGTATTCATATTTTTGGCAATCGATGTCCTGCTTGGTTCGTTCGTGGGTTGGTTGACTGTCTGGTTGTCTGGTCGATGGGCTGGCAGGTCCTCAGCCTGGGCAGCTGGGCAATTAGAAACGCAGAGTGCTCTGAAAATTTCCAATTTTCGGTGATTGCCCAGAGGATACCCAGAGCTGGGTTGCCTGTGTTAATTTCCAGTACAGGTTCTGGTGTTTGTGTATTGGACAATCGGCTCTGATGCCATGCCTTCGATCTCTTGGCATATATCACCGAACGGCTCTGCAGAATCGAGGAGAGCTGATGAGGTCACTCAGTGTGCGTAGACTTCGCTCTACTCACTCAGGCTGCTCAAATCAAAGTTGACCTCGAAATTGTGCAACTCATACATGTCCAATTTCTCTTTACTTATTTTCTCGGCAAGCACGATTGGCTTTCGCATCTGTTGCATCAACTGCAGGCTGTTGAGCTGTGCGAATTTCTTGTACTGCTGACAGTCGAATTTCTCGGTAGGCTTGGTTCTGGTGACGGGTTTCAGGCACTTCACTCGCTTCTTGCGCTGGTGCTCACTGAATGACTGCTCGTTGATCTGTTTGATTAGCTTGTCCAGCTCGTTGACCTTCTCCACGTCGTTGCTGTCCACGGCCATGTTGCGCTCAATGATGAGGCGCGCCTTGCGGTAGGCGGCACTGACGAGCATCTGACTAGTGCGCTTGACCTGGACCATCAGCTCTGCATCGCTTTTGGTGAAGCGGTAGTTCAATGCCCTCTTAATGCCCTTCTCCTTCCTGTTAATGCTGTGCACGCTGGGCGGGGGCTGGGCACTCAGTTCCGCCAGGGAGTTGACAAACGTCTCTGACTTCCTGCTCGAGTTGCTGGCGTCCATGTACTTCTCGTCATCTGACTCATCAAAGTCTTTCGTCTTTAGCTTCAGCTCTTTGGCATCCCCGTGTTTGAGTGGATCGTCCTTCGCCTGATCAGACTGATCAGGTATTTGAATTAGAAGCTTTGCTTCCTGCTGCAGTTGTTGCGTTGATTGTGGATGTTGCTCCAACTCCTGCTCTCGCTTTTGTTCCTGTTCCTGATAACCATAGTCGAGCTTGGTTTTCTTGTTGTTGCGCTGTGCCACCAGATGATCGATGCGCCGTTTGACCGCTGCCAGTTGGGTTTCCAGGTTCTGGAGCCGTGTGCTCGAGCACTGCTTGAGGGTCACAGCGTTATCAGTCTTATCCTTTGCCAGCAGAGCGCACTCGATACCCCACTGGTAGAGCAACTTCTCTCGCTTCAGGCTACGCTTATACAACTCGGTCTCCCGGTCCAGTTCGCTCAGGGACTCCAGTCTCTCCCGGTCCACCGCGTCACCCAGCAGGTCCACATCGTAGCCATCGTCGAATTTACTTGGCTTGGCATCCGTGTCAGGCAGTTCACCCTCATCCAGGACTTCAGTAAAGTTCAGATGACGTTTTCGAGTCTGCAAACCAAGCATTGTGAGATATTTTATTAAGCTGCATGAGGAAGAAGAAGTAAATTAAAAAATATTCTTAAAGTTAAAAATATTATTTTAAGATAAAAAAAAAAATACCTCATATTAATTTAAGGTCGGAGGGTAAAAAAAAATCGCAAGAAAAATACGTTTTTCTTTTGGGCAATTTTTTTTTCGTCGTTTTTTTGGCCACTTTAAACGATTAAAAAATATGTGAATTTAATTTTCGGGCGAAAAATGTTACCAATTTTATATGGTTTTCTAGGCATGCATAGGGCTGGGTAACCAATCGTAAAATACTTTTCCCACAAACCAAACAGCGAGCTGTTTTTCCAACAATGGGAATGAGCTAAGTGAGCTAATGGAGCACTCCACTTAAAAGCACAGAAGTTGGGAAAACTGAAATAATTTTTTCCAAAGCCTACTGAGACGAAAAATTCAAATTTCGATTTCCTTGCGAATTTTGACAGACGTCTTTCAGATCGCGAATCAGCCATTGGTTTGAGCTATTTGAGATGTGCCTAAATGGATTTGGTAGATGTCGTTTCTTATATTGTATATATATATGTATAAAATTGCTAAACATAACTGTTATTGAACTGTTAACTAATCATATATATAAGAGTATTTTTTTTTTTTTTTTTTTTTTTTTTTTTTTTTTTTTTTTTTTTTTTTTTATATTTTATTATTTTTTATAAATTAGCAAAGCTCATATATCAACTATATGGAACATTCAAAACATGAAGAAGAGTTTGTCATAATGACTGCTGTTTCGGCATATCTGGTATGAATAGGTCTAGACCTAGACATACTAAAAAGCTTTAGTTAACAAAAGTGGGATACAACATTTCAATTTACTGTAGATTTAGAACTAAAATTTCCTCTTATCCATCATCATCATTCTTTGATTTGTGATTGTTCGATTTTTTACGATTCAGATTACTCATAATAATACATAAAATAAATACTAAAAATACTAAATCACACACAAATTTATTTGACTTCCTCAAGTGCTAGAATCGGCTCAATAAAAACAAAAAAATCGTAATAATTGTTGGCTTCAATCACTTTGGTTTTTCTAGCTGATGCCAAGTGGAACAGTCAGCGAGCTGTATCCCGAGGCGTGACTTAGGGGCGCCTTCTATCCGGGCGTGCATTGTACGGGAATCAGAGCTAAGCCCGCACAATGATCATTCGATATGAAACCGGAGTTGGCTGCGCTGCAGCCGGCACGATTTGGCGAAGCCACAATTTCAGGTTTGCCTAGCCGTGAACACGTTCAACATGAACGGCGATTAGTTGCATTTGTTTACGAGTATGGATTTCGGATTTGTCTCCGGCTCCGGCTGCGGCTCCGGCTGTGCCTGTGGCCATTTCCCATTTCCCATCTGCCATTGCTGTTGCCATTTGCCGTGGCCATGGCGGCGTAATGGCCGCCAGCCGTAACTTATTGCATCGTGGCGTGCGAGTGTCCACTGTATGTGAATGTGCACCAAAGGGGGTTGGTCAGCAGCGCCAGCAGGAGCAGCAGGAGCAGGAGCGGTAGTCAGACTCCATTCTGGACCCTGGACTAGTGTCAGGTGGGTCATCCACATGAGCGGAGGGCGGAGGGGGAGCGACCCGCCTGCTTTGCCCAATATGAATGTGTGATTTCGTTTTCTTGGCCGGACTTTATCCACATTGTAAAGTAGACATTATGTTGATGCGAATCTCTTGCGGACTATAGCGACTACTTTTCTTCGCATATCGCGCCTGGGACATCAGCAGCGACCCAACGCCAACACGGCGATAATATCCCTGAAATTATTTTCAGTTGCCCCGTATGAGTGTATGAGTGTGTGTGTGTGTGTGTGTCCATTGGCAGCGGCCTTTGTTTTATTGTTATTGTTACGTTTGCTGGGCCATAGTCGTGATGTCCTCTCGGACTCTGCGTCTTTGTCTCTGTGTGTGTGTCTGTGTCTGTGTCTGTGTCTCAGGCTCAGCCTGGAGTCCGGTCACATTAGTGGTAGATGGACACTTTGCTGTCCACTGTCTGTCGTCCAGTGTCCTCTGTCCATTGTCCGGTGTCCTTTTTGGGTTATTTTATGTTATATCTCTCACATTCTTCCAAAGCAGCGCACTTGCAATTATACAACGGACGAGTACAGTGGACACATTTCTGGGGGTTGTCCCACGTGCCAGACACGTTTGGGCGTTTGCCTTTGATTTTCGCATATTGGCGCTACAAACTAATGGCTTCACTAACGATTGCAACCGTTGGCCTTAATGGCATCCTTTCGGCCATCACGCGCATCCCGTTTGCTGTCAATTTGTTGTGGTCCCGTCTGTTACCCACACTCCCAACTTCAACTCCAGCTCCAACTCTGAGCTCCCTCTCCACTGTTCATTCGTTTCGCCTTTGATTTAGTATTGAGTTGATGGCAAGAGAATCTCTTTCTCTTCAGATTTCTTTCGCATTTAAGTAATTAGACATTAGCTTTATTTATAAGGCATT